TAGGGTTGAGCTCTTGAATCATGAAATTTTACTTAATCGGCATATCCCTGTTAATCCTAAACAAGAAACTTCCACCTTTGCTCCTTACACCAATAAAACACGGCATCAACATGTGAGGCACAAGTTGCCATTTTCAGTCTCCTCAAGTGCCAACAATGCTAAGCCACATCATCGTCCTAAACCCTTAGCTTCTTCCATTCCCAAGGCAGGTACTAGTTCTTTCTCACAACCTGGTAGCCGCTCACCATGCCAAATTTGCAAGGGCACTAACCATTAGGTTCTGGATTGCTTTCGACATATGGATTTTTCTTACCAAGGCCATCATCCTCCTACAGATTTAGTTGCTATGGTTGCTGATATTAATGCTGACTTCTTGAATACTCAGTGGCTTACAGATAGTGGTGCTCATGCACATGTAACCAATAATGCTACAAACTTAATTCCAAGCATAAGTTTGATGGTAATGAGACTGTTGGTGTAGGTAATGGTACTGGTATCTCTATTAAACATACTGGTTCTTCCATTGTCCATTCTAATAATAACCAATTCTTACTCAATAATGTTATTCACTGTCCTCAAGCTGCAACTAACTTGCTTTCCATCAACAAATTTTGTGTCAATAATGATGTTACATTTCTTCTCACTAGTGATGCTTATTATATTCAGGACAACTAGACAGGGATCACGCTTCTTCAGGGACCAAGTGAAAATGGCCTGCATCCCATCAATCTGTCCAACTTATCACACAATAAGCATAGAGGATTAACTGCATTTATGGGAATAAAAGCATCTAGCTCTCTTTGGCACCGTCGTTTAGGTCATCCATCCGAGTTTGTTTTATGTCATATTTTACATTATAATAATTTGCCTCTTGATGGTTCTGTGAGAAAGGGCGTTGTATGTGAATCTTGCCAACTTGGCAAATCTATACAACACCCATTTCCTTCATCGCATCGTAAGACATTATGTCCTTTAGAATTAGTGCATTCTGATGTTTGGATTGCACCCATTGCTTCCAATTGTGGTTTTAAATTTTATGTAATAATTGTTGATGATTTCAGTTGTTACACATGGCTGTATCCGACTGCAAATAAATTTGATGTTTTCAACTCTTTCATTTAATTTCGCCTGCTTCCTGAAAAACAATTTTCTTATCCCATTAAACAACTACAAACAGATAACGGTGGCGAGTATATCTCTTCTCATTTACCAAGTATCTTAATCAAAATGGTATTTTTCATAGGCGTACATGTCCACATACCTCTCAACAAAATGGTATAGCCGAACGTAAACATCGTCATATAGTTGACATGGGACTTACCTTACTTGCTCAATCTGGACTTGCTGGCAAATTTTGGGTCGAATCTTTCCTAACTGCCACATATTTAATCAATAGATTGCCTACACCGATTTTAAGTAATGATACACCATATTTTAAACTTTATAAAACAATCCCTGACTACTCTTTTCTCCGCAATTTTGGATGTCATTGCTATCCCTTATTACGTCCTTATGCTAAAAACAAACTGTCTTATCCTAGTGTCCCGTGTATTTTCATTGGTTATTGCTCGAGTTAGAAGGGATATAGGTGCCTTGATCCTGTAAGTAAGCATGTCTATATCTCTCGCAGTGTTGTGTTCGATGAGAAATTATTTCCAGCTAAGATGGGATCATTGAGTCGTCACTCTCCTACTGGTACCGTGGTCTCTCCTAGTATGTCTTCTTCTCCAATTCAAATTCCTAATTGTTTAATTATTCATGATTCTTCTAGTTTACTTGCTCCTTCAATGGATCCTTCTCCTACTCCTACAACCAGACAACACCATCCACAATTATCCCCCCTGTTATCAAGTCCAAAATTATATCCAGATGATACAACTTAAGCTATTTCTTCTCCTTCTTCATCCCCTTCGGTTGTACTCCCATTGGAAACCATCAACCCCCCAACTATACCCAATTCTAGTATTGTTACTCGCTCTCAAACTGGAAATTCCCGACCTCGTCAATTCCTAGACTATAAAACTTTTTACTCATCATGTTATCCTCTTAAAATTTTTCAAGCCATCGTAGTCCCTCCTAAACCAAAAACATTTACACAGTCAGTCTCTAAACCTGAATGACGCATTGCTATGGAATCTGAATTCAAAGCATTAATGGATAACAATACATGGTCACTTTGTCCAAGGCCTTCTACTCATCCCATTGTTCGTAACAAATGGGTCTACAAGGTAAAACAAAAATCAGATGGCTCCATTGATCGCTATAAAGCAAGATTGTTAGCGAAGGGGTTTGATCAGAGGTCTGGGGTAGATTATTTTGAGACATTCAGTCTGGTAGTAAAACTAGCTACTGTCAGAATTCTTTTGGCTTTGGCTATACAATTTCGTTGGACAACTCGACAACTAGATGTCTCTAATGCTCTTCTACAAGGATTTCTTGATGAAGAGATTTATATGGAACAACCCAAGGGATTTATCAGTGCTGAACATCCTGATTTTGTCTGTTAATTACATCGTTCTCTTTATGGCCTTAAACAGGCACCATGGGCCTGGTTCACTCGTCTCTCTCATGCATTATTTGATCTTGGTTTCTGTGGTTCACATGTTGATTACTCACTCTTCACTTTTCACAGAGATAATATACATATTTTTATGTTAGTATATGTTGACAACATCATTATTAGTAGCAACGATGATCCTACAATTTTCTCCATTATCTCCCAATTGAAGTCTGAATTTGTGATGAAAGACTTAGGTAACTTGAGCTATTTCTTGGGCATTGAAGCTGTTCTTGACTTAACAGGTTTACATTTACGTCAATCAAAGTATATTGCGGATTTACTTGATCGTGCAAATATGGTTGGTGCCCGACCTTACAAGTCTCCATGCGTTTCTGGTACCAAAATGTCCAAATTTGATGGTGACTTGTTGGTTGATCCATCTGAATATCGACATATAGTTGGGGCCCTACAATATGTTACAATCACACGACCGGATATTGCTGACTCCGTGAATCAATTGTGCCAACATATGCAGGCTCCAACCAGCACTCACTGAACATCAGCTAAGAGGGTTCTAAGATATTTAAAACACACTGCTGACTTCGGCCTTTATTATCGACCAAGCACCATTTCATTACATGCCTTTTGTGATGCAGACTGGGCTGGTAATCCAGATGATAGAAGGTCTTCCATTGGCTGTGGGATTTACCTTGGGCAATGTTTAGTTTCCTAGTCCTCTAAGAAACAACCTGTGGTTTCTCGATCCAATACTGAGGCAGAATACAGAAGCTTGGCATTAACAACTGCAAAGGTGTACTGGATAAGAATGCTTCTACGAGAACTATGCATCTATCTGCCTCAACCTCCTGTTCTTTGGTGTGATAATCTAAGTGCCATGTCACTAGCATCCAATCCTATTTTTCATGCTTGAACTAAGCATATCGAGGTCAATTATCACTTCATTAGAGAAAAAGTAGTTAACAAAGATGTGGTTGTTCGTTACATCAACACAAAAAATCAAGTTGCCGACATTTTCACCAAAGGACACACTACTGATCGCTTTTGTACTTTATGTGACAAATTGTTGGTATGTTCCATACCCTCCAATTTGAGGGAAGGTGTTAAGACACAGGATATCAATCCCACATATTGTGCAACGTAATATGCAGGCTATAATTGTTAAGGCATAGGAAATGGCTAATATCTTGACTGTGCATAATGTCTTGGTTGTAATGGCTGATATTTAGGCTATAATCTTGTCCTGTAATCTTGTCTATCCTTCTATATGTAACTGTAAAGTTATTATATATACATCAGCAATATACACTGTTTTGGTATCCTGCTAAAACAACTTTCAGCATTTGTTTATCCTTCAGTATCGTGAGAGACAAACAACATCAATTTTCTTGCAACAAAATGGGAACAAATATGTTTTAAGGAAACTTTGAGCAACACAAACATTGGTTCCTTCCAATGTCACTACTACATCAATAACCAAATTTTCTCTTTTATTGTTACTTTGTTTATTGTAACATTTGTTTTCATTATTTTATAATTCTAACAGTATTAGTAATTTCCTTTTGTATTTTCCTATCAAAAAAATACTTGTAATTTGTAACAAACGGCAGTATCTTCCTCTGCATTATTTGCACAACCATGTGATGGACTAAAACAATGGCTAAACTAACTTTTGATGCTCCGTAAAACCCAACACATTGACCAGATCTTTTTCATTAATGAGCCTGCCTAACTTATCAATGTAACAAAATCAAAAATCAACTATAAAATTTGTGTCGACCAGCAGTTATGTATATAATCCATGTGAAGGCTCGTCGATCAGCAATTTTGTATATAATCCTTATAATTTATAACGGTTGCAGTAATTACACGAACAATCTGAATGCTTATGCGATATGCCATGATTCAGGGTTCTGGAGAATGTTCGACTAACCATTGAAGAATGCGGAGACATGGCTGGAGTATTACGTTCCAACCTTGCCCAAAGGTCAGTTCCATCATCTTATCTTGATTTCCCAAACCGAGAAATCCATGAATCGGGGTCTCTTGATCGAGCTTGTTTAGATTGATGTTGCCTGATGAAGCCTATAATAATACACTATGTGGTCGACCTTCCGAACAGAATTCCTTCTTTTTTGAGTAGCCCTTTTACTAGCACTAGTAAGGGTTGGCACCACTGTGTGCTGCCAAGTGCTCTATCTCAAATCGAAATAAATATGAATGTTTAAATTGGAAGTTCCCTAGCAATGCGAATTGTAATTACTTGTCGACGGAATGCAAGGCACGTTAATAATTACTCGATACCTACTTTTCTCGACATTTTGAGGAAAATTACTTTATCCCAATTACCCAACACTCGAAACGACGAACCGTCCAAGGTTCCACGCTATAAAATCTTGTTAGCTCATTGAGAAACTCATATTTAGGGGAAAATACCTCATTAATACTTTTCTTGCTAAAGAAGCAGCGAAACAAATCAAGGAAAAAGGTAAAACAGAATGACTTTATTCAACTCCAAAAAGACATTCCTTTCCCTTCGATATCAAACTTGAATATCTAATCTAACTATTCACGTTTCTCTCTACATATGTTTCAATTTCATCTGAATATTTCGGAAAACTTACAATAGATTGAACAAGAAAATTTTCATTATTCTGATATTTTTGAAGCTCACAAGATCATGTCTTCTAGCCCTCCAAGAGAAACAGGCAATGGCGCCAGAAACTACCAGCTCTATTGGTGTTACCAATGTCATCGGACAGTCCGTGCTGCATCAGACAACCCGTCTGCGGTGACTTGTCCACGGTGCCTCAGCCAGTTCATTCTTGAAATCGACATGGGAAGAACTAGACCGGTTCTTGAATTCACTGCATTTGATCCCTCCCCTGAGGCCCGAATTCTTGAAGCATTGTCCCTAGTGTTTGATCCATCAATTGGATTGCAAAATCCTGAAACGGACAGAAGGAGGAATGATCGAGTCTCTAGGCGAAGAAATCGTGTTCTGGACGAAAGACATCATAGGGAAGGATCTGAGCCTGCCAACAGAGGGGGCTGGTTATGGCCGAGGAGAAGAAACAATTTGTTTGTTGAGAACGGGGATGATTGGGGTCCCGAAACTGGGATTCTAGCCCGTCCTCGGACCTGGATCTTTCTCAGACCATCAGGGCCAGTCCCGGCTGATGACGGGAATTCACCCCGGGTAAGGCTAATACCACCTAGGGTGGATCCCGGGAACTATTTTGTTGGCTCTGGAATGGAACAACTTATTGAAGAACTTACAGAAAATGACAGGCCGGGAATGCCGCCGGCACCGGAATCGGCAATTGACAAAATTCCGACCATCAAAATTGAACCATCCCACTTGGCTACCAGTTCAGAATGTCCAGTCTGCAAAGAAGAATTTAAAATAGGAATGGAAGCAAGGGAGCTTCCATGCAACCATGTATACCATTCTGATTGCATCGTACCTTGGCTGAGGCTTCACAATTCTTGCCCGGTATGCCGCCACGAGCTCCCTGTTCCGTTAGAAAGTTCAGTAGACTCATCCAGCGATACTCAGGAGGAAGGTGGTCATGACCAGCGGTGCTGGAGGCTGAGGCAGCTGTGCAATATGTGGCCCTTCCGATCAAGAGATCGACCTCTTCATCCAGATCATGGTGGCACAAGTACGTCTGATCACGGTGAGAATTGAATTCATGATCCGATAATAAATTATGTAGCATGATCCAATCCAACGATGTAAAATTAGACAGCATTTCATAATTGCAATAAATCTCTGATAGTCTGATTATCACACTATCCAAATAGTGTAACTCCCTGCAAATTGCATTTTTTATGGACAAATGATGGGATAATCATTCGTAATTAGTTCAATCTGCATTTCTCATGAGCAGATTCCTGGAGGCAATCTTGTCATATTCTTTAGCCCGAAAATGCGTCAACAGTTGTATCAATTCGCTACGAAGAGAAAAGCTAAAAAGCTAAAAAGCTGAAGATCCACAAAAACTGCAGTCAATTTAGAACTGTCATGTATCGGACAAGAATTACAAAGGCAGGTACCATAGAGTTAAATCAACAAGAACTGTTAAGAATTCATCATAAAGTGTTACTAATTTCAAACAAAAATAAGTGTAAATCAATTTTAGACGTAATTCACAAGGTCGAATAAACAATTCTCTCTCGGTGTTCATATATCTGTCACAATCAATGCTGATAGTTTCACATTCTTTTGGGCTGATGTCGAGTCCCTGCATAGAAGCCTTCTGTATATGATGTGTTCTTGAACATCGACTGCAATGTAGAGACCAACTTTAATAAAATACAATCATATATTGAATTTTAAACGATTCATGAGACAACAGACCAAGCTTTTGAGGACAGTGAAATTAGAGGTCAATTCTAAATCAAAATGCACACAAGAAATGATCAAATTGTTACTGTGGATTGTGATGCGTATTCCTTTGCGACTAATAGCTTTCCAAGAGAACAGATTTGGATTTTACACCTACACAATGATTAAGCAACTACTGCAACAAATAGTACATACCACCGATTTAATAAGGCCCAAAAGCAGTTGCTTCCATACAGTTTCAGTAAGTTCAAGAAAAATAATACTCTGCATGAAAATATATTCAAGTTAATTGGAACGTAGGAAATTTTGATACTCACGAGTATGCTCTTCAACTCCCCAGAAAGCTGTTTTCTAATACTGTTTGATACCATGGTACCCAATTGTTCCCGATATTTCTCCATGTTCTCCTCTTTGATCTACATGGTCAAAATCATCATAAATGTATGCAGCATTTTTAAAGTAATGATTTCAGAATAAAGTATTCTACTACCTCAGAAAGAACTATGGATGTCGTCTTCTCCAAAATTTCTTCAACAAGTTTTTCAGGGTCACCAAAGGAGCTTGACACGTTCACGGCACTGCTTGATTTCTCCTTTCGGCAAGCATTGGATGGTTTATCTGCTTTTGCTACATAACAAAAGAATTTGCGGTCCCCATATCACATCAATCATCAAAGACTACCGATTTGCACAAAGAAAAAGGAAATTAAGGGGAAAATGTTAACCTCAGAAAACCCAAAATTCGTTACTTTTCTGAAATTCTTAGGCACTAACTAATGCACATATAAAAGAATATGGGATGTTTATCATGCTTTCTGTTTCATAGCCAAATAACTAACAA